GTCACAGTGGCTATGCAGTCATTAGAACGAGGACACCGCCACAACATTGATCATTAGACATTTTTCTAATTGTGACCGTGACGTCTCTAATGCAAAACACAGCCACTGACATTGTTTTCCTGTACCCGTAAAATAACGAAACCTCAACAAGTTCGGTATTCGTAATTTTACCGCCTCACTCATTCACCCCCTAGCTACATGCAGCCTGGGACGGTGCACTTTGTGATCAGCACCGAGGATTGCATCACGGTGGGCGGTCACTTCTATTCTCCCGCAACGCTGGACAAGACAATGATGTCCTTGGTGACCAAGCGCTACGTGGCTCCCCAGACCACGAACACCGCACATTCGCACTGCGGAGTTCTATTCCTCCGCATGCTGTCCTACCTCGTCTACGTGTTCAAAAACGATGGCAACAAGGGAAGCAACACTGTCTGGACACCCAGTTCGGAGCAATTAGCGCATATTGTTGTGATTGCATCTTACCTGGACCAACTGGCTCCCGGTCCGTTTGACAAAGACACGGCCAATGACATTGACCCCATCTCGGAGGACGATGAGAGCAAGGACGACGGCGAGGCATCAGCAACGGAGGAGGCTGAAAAGCCCAAGCGCAAATGCAAGGCCAAGAAACCAGTCGTGGTGTCAATTGATTCCAAGCATTCCTGTGCTACCATGGACTTGAACAAACTCCCCAAGACCTGGCAGCACACGCAGGAGTTTGAGCATGACTTTAGTTATGCAAAGCTCACTCTAATCCCAACGGTCATCCGACTGGCCACCACTCGTTACCCCGACATCGTCCGCCAGATCTCTGCAGTCCAGGACACACTCCTCCGGTACAGCAAGGCCTTTGACGACCAGCTGGCTCACCTCAACAGGCTCAAGGGCTGGGAGGTGCACGACCCCATCAAGCGATCCGACAAGCTCACCAACCTCCTCAAGAACCTCCTAACGGAGGACGACTTGAAATTTTTGAGAGAAGAGAGGCAGAGGGAAAAGAAACATAAACCAAAGGTGGTTGAAGGGAAGCACAACCTCACTGGACTCAATCAGTCGTAAATTATTCTTATTTGTATATATTGAAATTTGTTTTGTATATTGTACATAGGAGAAATTGTATTCTTGTTTAACATGTAGGGATTCTCCGAATCTCAAAGTGTGAGTTTAGGTATATTTTTTTCTCCTTTGTTTTTCACGTTCTCTTCGATTCTCTCTGATGCGGGGGAGACCCCCGCAGACCCCCCTTGCCGCTGCGCGGGGCGTTCTCTTTCTTTCTTTCTTTCTTTATCTTCGATTTTACTTTGCGCTATATGGCCAGTAAAAGGCAGTGCACTTTGAGAGTCGTTCGATGTAGACGGCAGGTGAGTAGGCGAATTTCAATTGTGTGTTTCGCACTTACTTACTTATTACTCAGCGCGCCTGGAAAGACAAGTGAGTGGAAATATCTCATTCAATTTCATGGAATCTGATACGTGCCAAGGTATTTTTTTGGCCATCCTGTTCTGTCACGGTCATTCATGTCGCTGCATGAGATGCGGTCAGGGAGACGTGACGCAATATATCGAAGACGGGAGAGCGGGGTCACGTCTTGCACGCCTCAAAGTTCTTCTCCTCGTCCTTCTGCTGTCGACTCGATGGTGTTGAAATTGGACGGAACGTTACGCCTTCCTGCATTGTTGTCATCTTGGGCTTCATTCGCATCCGTGTGCAATAAATTGAATGTAGAATATTCAAGACGCGACTACGCGCGGATGTTGATTAGACATCTACACCTTGTAAGCGTCTCTCTTCCCTTTGACGGATAGTTGAACCGGATGGCAAGCCCTTAAGCGATCGACGAACTTTACTGCTGTAAGTTGTCCCTAACTTTGATGAGTATCGAGGCTTACATAAAAACAATAGGTCGATACTAAATATTCGAACCGTGTAAGTCAATCCTTTGTCCTACTCAGAGCATTTCTGACTATGATCTCCTTTCCCTCGTTCTTCTAGCACGACGGGAGATCCGCGCAGCATCGCTTGGGCACCAGAATTAGAACATGAATATAATTAACTACAATACTTGTTTCCTATTTAGCGAAGATAGAATTTAAAAGAAATGAAAATAATGATAGTATTGAGACCCTGTACAAGGGAGGATGACACATTTCAAATGACATTACAATGCAGC